TTGCAACATTATTTGTAACAGCAAAAGATGAGAATAGAATTTGAACATTCATTCAAAGGGATCTGGTTACAAATTATGGTACATCTATGCAAAGAAATTTTATGTAGCACTAAAATAAAAGTGTGGCAATACGCTATAGAAGATTCTACAAGGCATTTTGTTCAATGAAAAAAAAAAGTGTAAGACAATATGTGTAGTATGCCAATCTTGGAATTAAAAAAGGAAAGGAAGAATTACATCTGCTTATATTTGCAGAGAGTATCTCTGAAGGAGATCTAAGAAATGATGGGATTTTCTCAAACCTAAGACCCTTTGATGCTGGAGCTTCCTTCATCTGACCAGGGCTGAACTGTGTCCCCCCAAAATGCACACGCTGATGCTCTAACTGCTGGTACCTCAGCGTCTGACTGTATATGGAGATGAAGTCTTTAAAGGGATGATCAATTAAATGAGGTCCTTAGGGTGAGTTCTACTCAAATCTGGTGTCCTTCTGAGAAGAGGAAATTTGGACACACAGAGGCACACCCAGGATGCATGTGCACAGAGGAAAGGCCACATGAGGACACAGTAAGGAGGTGGCCATCTGCAAGCCAAAGAGGAAACCAAATTTGCTGCCACTTGATCTTGCACTTCCAGCCTCCAGACTGGGTGGAAATGAATTTCTGCTGTTTAAGCTCCTCCCGGCCCGCTGTGACATTTTGTTATTCTGTGACACCAGAGCAGTCTGAGACACCAAGTATGATCAGAAGGTTGTTGCACAAAAGTGTCCCAACTGCCACCTGAATGACAGCGATTGTGAGAGGAATTCTGATTTCAAAGAGGAAGTGTGGCACAGAGAACAATAAGCCTCTTTAAATCAATTGAATTAACAACACCGGTGCCTGGGGTGGGAGTGGGGTGCTGGGGGGCGAGGATAGGAGGACTAGGGGCCAGGGATGGGAGAGACTTTTCACTGTACCATTTACAAAAGAGAATTATAATGAGAAAATTATAATTTTGAAAAGGAGATGTGGGTCATGTTGCTGGATTAGTAAGGTGAAGTGGGCGCTGGGCAACAAAGGAAGGGAGGCTGACATCTTCCACATATACTTTTTGTATATTTTGACTTTTGTATTAGGTGTATTAACTGCAAAATCGTTAAGAAACATTGTTAACTTAAACTTTAAAAAAGCTGAACGCTGTAACTTAAGTATCAGAATGAAAGACTCCTACCATTTAGTGAGCACCTATTGTGTGCTGGGCACTCTGCTGACTTCTCCGTGAATACTGACAAGTGCTTTGCAAAAAAAAATACATCGTTCCCATTTTGTAGAAGAGGAATTTTGGAGCGGGTAGAAAACTCATCTAAGGCCTTATAGCTAGAGAGCAGCACAGCAAGACTGAACCCAGGACTCACTCCTGCCAGGAAGGTGTGGTCCTTATTCCTCCCCTGCCTCCCCCCCAACTCCTTAGCCCAGGGAGCCCCAGGGAGGGGCAGGTCCTGCTGATGCCAAGGACGAGGTGCTCTGGGAGGACACGGAGGGCCCACTCCCCACCCTCCCTGTCACACACCCAGGAGGGTGTCTGGAGACCTCAAGGAGCCACATGGGCCTCCAGGTCTGGGGTTAAGAAGGGTGATGGGTGCAAGGTTGGGGCAGCCCAGGGCACCTGGGGCTGGGCTTCAGGGTATTTCTAGAATACCACACAGGAGTGCCCGCCCTGATCATGAAGGGGACAGGAGCCCGCTTTCCCCTTTGGGCTCCCCAGAGGCTGGCCTCTAATCCAGAAGTGAACGTTCTCCTGGGCTCCAGTGTTCACTGACTTCTCGGTTCCCTTTGGTTCTCAGCCCAGGCTCTGGTCCAGTCTGTCCCCATCTGCAGAGGCTGCAGGATGTTCTCTGAACTTACATCTTCTAGTGGCCCTCAAGTGGCAGCCTGGACTCTGGTTGGAGTCGAATCCCAGCCTATTGGGGGCAGGAGGGTGGTCGTGGGCACCTGGCCCTGCTCCTCACCTCGTTCCCTATCATCCATCTCTCCAGGACTCTCTGAGGCCAAGTCTGCTGCCCATACCCCAGGACAGCTGTTCCACTGCCCTTCGTGGTACCCTCAGCTCTGCGCCAGGTCCAAATTGGCCCTTAGTCAGGGGTAGTGACCCTTGCCCTCTCCTCCTTCAAGACAGAAGACCTGGCTCAGGGGCCACTTAACCATCTCCTGACGTGACCTGGCAGGGTGTTGGGCCAGACACAGGTGGGGTTGGAAGTGGAGGAAGCCGGGCTCCTTCTTCTGCATGACAAAGGGTGGGGGCTGCCCTCCCACCTGACGGCTAATCAGCCCATTGTAAAGAATCTCCCAATCCACACTGGCTTTCTTCTCTTGGCCTCTGGCTAGGGTTGCCAGATGTAGCAAATAAATACAGGACTCCCAGTGAGAGGTGAAATTTGAATTTCAGATAAACAATGAATAATTTGTTAGTTAAGTGTATCCCAAATTGTGTTCTCTATTTTATTTGGCAGTCTGATCCCTGGCAGATTGCCTAGTCATTTTATTTCCCCAGTAAAACTCTTCAACCAAGCAAATCCACGTTCACTTCAGGGGAAGCCTCAGGAAACTGGGGGATGTGGCCCCTGCCCCCACCCAGCCCTGATCACCTGGACTGAATCCACTTGGTTAGCTTCAGGGGGTTGGGCGGGACTCTGGCTGGAAATGGTTTGAGGGTGTGGAAAGAACTCTGGGCTGAGAATCAGAAGACCTGACTTTCTGCAGACAGCCATGATTACTGTTGTGAGCGTGGGGACAGTGCTGCCTCTCTCAGCCTTGGTTTTCTTGGCTCAAAAACTGGAGGAGGAGGTAGACTGGATTTTTTTTTAACCCTAATCTCTGAATCCATGAACAGCCCAGAAGAGGGAGAGGATTGGTGTTCCTTACTGGACTAAACCTCATTGATACTAAGTAATTCCAGGTTCCCTTGCCTTCTGAAGGCCCCTCAGAACACTGGGAAGCACAGTCCAGGAGGTTTATAGCCCCCAGGAGCCATTTGAGCACCAGGCTCAGATGCTCATCCCAAAGGCAGGATTGGTCCTTAGCCAGAGAGCCCTGGTGTTGAGTGGGCAGTTTAACTGCAGAAAGGAATAGGACTCTAGGTCCACACACCAGGGACTGGAGTTTGCCCTTTGACAGGGGACAGGGGACCTAGCAGAGAATGAGATCCCTACCTCTTCTTCAGGAAACAGCTTTTTTATTTAACTGGTCAGGCACCCCAAGCCAAGGTAGAGAGGCTCATGACCAGAACAATAGGCATCTGTCCACAGTCCAGACATCCTCCTTCTTGGGGCTCAGGGACCTGTCTGGCTGCTGAGCTCCCAGGAGGTCCAAGGGGTGTGACCTCCCTCCCTCCCTGCCTGCCTCCCAGGCCCAGCCCAGGGCTGGCTATAAAGCCAGCCCAGCCTGGCTCTCAGCACACCCAGCTGGGACCCTCCTGGAGCCTCCTCCACTCTTCTCCTCCTTCTCCTGAGCAGCACCATGAGGCCCCTGTGGCTCTGCTGGGCACTCTGGGCGCTGCCTCTGGCCAGCCCCGGGGCGGCCCTGACCGAGGAGCAGGTCCTGAGCAGTCTGCTGCAGCAACTGCACCTCAGCAAGGTCCCTGTCCTGGGCAAGGCCGACATGGAGGGGCTGGTCATCCCTGCCCACGTGAGGGCCCAGTACGTGGCCCTGCTGCAACGCAGCCACGGGACCCGCTCCCGGGGGAAGAGGTTCAGCCAGAACTTCCGAGGTGAGGCCCTCCCTTGTTGGGGAGGGCTAAGACTGGATGTGCCTGCTCTGGGAGGTGTCTGGGGGCCCAGGGTCCATGGGGGACCACAGACAGTGAGGATGGCTGGCCTGGGCCACTGGTCTCTGTCTGCACTGAGGGCCTCCAATCTTGGGGCCAGGAGGAGCTGTGCCAGGCTGGATCTGCTGCCAAAGCCAAGGCAAGAACAGATATCATGGGGTAGGGAAGCAAAGTGGAAGGAGGGGAGACTAGAGAAGGGGAGACAGAGTGTCAAGGGACTTTGTGCTGGTGGACGAAGAGGATGGCCTCAGCAGAGAGTGTTGCCTTAGAGAGAAAGGACTTCTGGGTTCAGTTCTCAGCTATGATACTTGTTTTACTTTGGACAAGTCACTGAACAACCTTAGCCTGTTTGCGTTTCTGGAGATGAGGTTAAATTAGCTCTGACTATTTCGCAGAGTTGTGGCATGTGAGATGTAAGGTACCTCCCTGGGGCTGGGGCTACCTCCCTGACGCCCAGAAACAGACCAGGCTGGGTGCCCTGGGAGATGAGGAAGTGGGTCCTGAACATCTCAGCATGGGTGACTGCTGGCAGCCATGTGGCTGGCTGGTCAGGTGACCAAGCTGCCAACCTGGAACCTCAGGTGTTGGGGACATTTGCCTGGTGCCTCTGAGGAGGGAGTTTACCTGTCCTCACCACTCCCTCAGGACTCAGTAGCCCCACAAAAGTTTACAGGGCCCTGTCTCCTTGCCCTCCTTTGGAGGATATTTCTTGGGCATGAGCCCCCCCCTCACCAGGCAGGGAAATGAAAGTAATTTCAGGGCTCTTTTGCCTCTTAGGAAAAACCAATTTCAGCTGGTGACCACAGGTTTCCACTGGCTGGGTCCTCTGCCTCCCACCCTCCATCCCCCCTCCCGCTCCTTTGCCTAAAGAAGGCTGCATGTGTGTTGTCTGCATTCGAAGCCCCCACCCCCACCCCAGCCCTTGCTCAGCATCCCAAAGCTGCCACTACCAGCTGAGGGTGGAGGCCACTGGTAAATAAGCCCCAACCCCAAATGACGGTTTTAGAAACCGGCTTGGCCCTAACAGTTTACCAAGGAGTGGTGGTGTTCTCTTTCTGTCCTGGTCCACCAGTTTCCCAGCCTCCAACTCTCCCTGGGCATTACTGAGGAAATCCTGTTCACTGGCTCTGGGCCCTGCACCCTCCGAGTTCCCCTGGCTCCCGGAGAGGCCCCGCTGACTCTGCTTCTGTCCTCAGAGGTGGCCGGCAGGTTCCTGGTATCTGAGGCCTCCACGCACCTGCTGGTGTTCGCCATGGAGCAGCGGCTGCCGCCCAACAGCGAGCTGGTGCAGGCGGTGCTGCGCCTGTTCCAGGAGCCGGTCCCCAAGGCCGCGCTCCGCAGGCACGAGCGGCTCTTTCCGCGCAGCGACCGCGCCCGGGTCACCGTCCAGTGGCTGCACGTCCGCGACGACGGCTCCAACCGCACTTCCCTCATCGACTCCAGGTGGGGAGGTGGCGGCTGGGGTGTTGGGGGAGGAGGAGAGAGAAAGAGGGAGGGGGGCGAGGGGGCGGGGAAGCAGGGGAGTAGAGGCCACCTGGGAGGAGGTGGGAGAGGCACTCCCGGGGCTGTCCTGAGCCGTCCCAGTCCCCAGCTCTCAGCGCGAGCTTATGTCTCTGGTGTCGCAGGCTGGTGTCCATCCACGAGAGCGGCTGGAAGGCCTTGGACGTGACCGAGGCGGTGAACTTCTGGCGACAGCTGCACCGGCCCCGGCAGCCGCTGCTTCTGCAGGTGTCGGTGCAGCGGGAGCACCTGGGTCCGCTGGCCTCCAGCGCCCACAGGCTGGTCCGCTTCACCTCCCAGGGGCCGTCGGGCGCCGGGCAGGGGGAGCCCCAGCTGGAGCTGCACACCCTGGACCTCAGGGACTACGGGTAAGTGCTGTGGGTCAAACAAATCAACCCGAATAATAAGGCAAATGGGGGAATTAAACATATTTTGAAGTGTGTAACGTTTCAGGGTGCTATGGAAATGGATAAAGATATAAAATTTCTCCGTCCTCTCAGGAATAGTATCAGTTCTGATTATTTTGGGGTTATTTCTAGTTATCCATCCTCATCACAAATATGCAGCATTTTGGAACATTATGAGGGATGGGTCATAAATCTCCCTCCAGCTGCCCCACTGGGCTCCACCCTGGGCCCCCTGACCTCTGGCCTCCCAGCTGACCTCTGCCTTTGCCTCTCCTTGTCCCCACAGAGCTCAGGGAAATTGTGATCCTAAGGTGCCAATCACTGAGGGCACCTGCTGCTGCCGCCAGGAGATGTACATTGACCTGCAGGGATTGAAGTGGGCTGAGAACTGGGTCCTGGAGCCCCCAGGCTTCCTGGCCTATGAGTGTGTGGGCACCTGCCAGCAGCCCCCAGAGTCCCTGACCTTCAAGTGGCCATTTCTGGGACCACGACAGTGCATCGCCTCGGAGACGACCTCACTGCCCATGATTGTCAGCATCGAGGAGGGAGGCAAGCCCAGGCCCCAGGTGGTCAGCCTGCCCAACATGAGGGTGCAGAAGTGCAGCTGTGCCTGGGACGGGGCGCCCGTGCCAAGGAAGCTGGAGCCATAGGCACAGGGTGTAGCTATCAAGGGACTTGGCTCCTGTGTGTGTCAGAAGTGTTCTACGGCACCAGAAGAGATGGGGATTACTGAACGGCTGATGGCAAACGTTCTGTGCTATCTCCTGAGTTCTTCTGACCAGTTAGCTCACCTCCTGATTTTTGTTTCCCAGGAACAGGATTCCCTGGCCAATGGGTAGCCCCTGCCCAGTCTTCTCTCTTCTTGACATTATTCACTGCACTGAATCCTAAGCACTTAGCTGTGTAGGTTTTATAACCTAAGAGCAGAAATCCTAATTTGTCATTGTTTCCTCGTCCTATCACTGGATCTAGGCTGAGCTCTGTAGTATGGGCAGGAGATCCAGCTGCCACTCTGGGCTTAAAACCTAGGGTCACGTATGGGTGGTATGTTCCCAACTCAGATAACAAGGGCATTTTGCAAGAAACAAATAAAACACATTTTATCCTGTATTTCTTTGTTTTACCCAGAACACTGCAAATTGGGAGGGAACAGAAAGTTCTATAGAGATTAGGTCAACCAGATTAGAAAACTAAGGAAAAAGCTAAAAAAGACATGTTCAGGGTCTCAGTTAAGTGATACAGGATGCTAGGATTGAGCTGCCTAACATATATAATGGGGCTATGGTTATCTGAACTCATGTTTTGATCTATCTTGGCTCTTTCTTGATTTTGAAATAACCTACTGAAAATCAAATTTAGAAATCCCTTCCCTCTCTGAAATCAAGGATCCTGACTTCTCTCTCTCTCTCTCTCTCTTCTTTTTTTTTTTTTTTTTTTGGTCAGTGGCTCCACCAACCTAATCACTGGGGTTAGAACCTTGCACTTCCCTGGACCCTACTGTACATATCAGGCAGTGGGTGGTTCCATTCATTGAGGAAGGGAAGGAATAAAGACACGTAGGTAGGGAGTGTGAGGGGAAGAGTGGGGTCATTTTGAGGAGCCAAGGTCAAGTCCAGTGGCCACACCCAGGAACTTG